TGGACCATTGAAATGACAGCCAGGAAAAATTAAGGGGTCATGCACGATGGGTTGTTCAAGAAGATTCTGCAACGACGTCGCACATGCCCCCTTGATGCAGAAACTGAATTCTGAGAAACTTGGCAAACCTCTTCAAGATGTTCTACTTCAAAATATATAATAATAATAATTCACGCTTAAAATCGGTGGGATCTAAATAGCCCATTGTATGTTGCCATTCAGTTGAAATTTTCGTGCTACTTTAGGCATTCGTTTTTGCAAAAAAAATCAAAGTACAGATTGAACAACTGTTTGAACCTCGAATTTACAATTATCCGGATAGTTAGCACTCGCATAGGCAATTGGGAAGCCATTTTATTAGTGTCTTCGGCCTGTACATATTAAAATAAAAACATGAAGGGATATCAGCTAAACTCCCTTCTTATTAATCGCTCAAAATAACTGACTTCACTTCATATTTACGCATGCTAATGGGCTTTAATCACACTCCCCTTTAGTAGTATTGATATCGTTTATGCCGGAAGTGATCACGATCACGGCTCATTAAGCTTTGATTTTTTGTTGACGTAGCAAAATGTAAGGGCCATTTTGACGAGATTTCCGGCAGCGCTCAAGTATAACTCTCAGATATTTCGCCCTACACTGAATTCTGGACACGACCCTGACAGAGGTAGAAATGACATCTTTAATGTTGCCTTGATGATTGATAGTTCGTCGCCTGCAAACGATGCTAGCTGTCGTTGCCTCTAGGTCGTACTGGTAACTAGTGGGTAAAATGGGATGGATAAAGATATATTTGTACTGAATCTGCCCCGCTCCTACGGCAATACCCGTTGTTTTTCGAGGACAATATAAATGTCAAGACAACTGGACCGAGCGGCTGAGTTTTAGGACACGTCCACGTATACCAAGCACTTGCTAGTCCCCAACTTCAAGTGAGTCAGTCTTCAAGGAGGGGACCCCTGGTCCCTTATTGCTAGGAACTACCACGAGCCTCAGCCTGGTCTGTCAACTGAAAATCTTCTAAACTACAGGTATTAGCGCACCATGCTGCGTAAAAGCGGACTTATTTACCAGAGGAAGACTAAGCTCTGAATCCGAGATTAGTCAGCCTGACGCTCTCAACAGTCCATCTATCTAAAGTGCGCTATCGCATTTCGAACGATACTACTCGTCGGACTATATGCGTAGGCCATCAGCTATTTACATATGCGGCATCCCCTTTGTATGAAGTGTTAGCGTGTTGTGTTTGGACGGCCAGGTCGTGTAGGCGGCACGAGCAGACTAAGTCATTAGCTTTTGGCGGACAGCCACAATGCCTATCCCCCCCCTTCGTTCTCCAAAACTTGCTGCCCCAAAGTCGTGTCGTCACAACCAACTGTTCCAATGCTTTCTTCCACTGGCGCCCCCGCCCCCTGAGGCTTGACCTCGCAGCTGCTTCAGGCTAACCGATAACAGCTGCGTCAGCGTCCCCCGTCCTTCGGCGTTCCTGCGGCCCCCACAGTTAACCTCAGCTTATTCAGTCACACACACACACACGCGTGCGCACACACCCGCGTATACACTTGCGTCCAAATAAGCGCGCCTGCCTAAGGACAACTTGAAATACACCACCCCTCGGTTAAGGCAGAAAA